GTCCCGGGGGGAGAGGACAAGCAGCCTGGGCACCGGTACCGGCTCGGGTGACTTTTAATCTTTTATTGCGGCCTAAGGAAGGGATGTGGGTAACTGCAGGAATCGTTAATTACAGGCTCTAAAAGGCCTTGTCCGTCAGTGATGGGTCCTTGACCATTGTGTAGATGGGGATGAACCTCCATGTTTAGGAAATAAATGTTTTGCTGTTAGTTTTTTGTTAATATACTAATTGAGCCTTTCTGTCACATAGCAATTACTTTGTTCTAGTTCCTCTGGAAAGTGAGGGATTTGATGGCCTTGTCCTCTGATACACCTTCTAAGGAAAGATACTAAGTGAGTATCAAGCATTCCATCCTAAATCCTCCTACATCCCAACTCCATTGCTGCCCATGAAAAACTAAATTAGTTTTTTGAAATAAATCTTCGAAATCTGGACATTTTGTAGCCAGCATTTTGCTTTTCTCTTTATCTCTCTCAATCAGGTTGCACTGAAGTAAAACTTTGCTGCTGTGAATAGAGCTTGTTAACATGAAACTCCCTGGAATTGTCTGCATCCAGGAGTGCTATGGAGCAGTTTTCAACATGGAGGAGAAGTTGTTACACGTGTCTGGTAACAGAAGACAGTATTTCACTGACAGGAAACTGATATTGAGTGGGGTAGCAACACCCTGGCGCCAAACCTCCAACTCTAAAGTGAAGAGAAATGCTGGAGATGGGAAAAGTATGAGAGCAGTGGTGACAGGAGGTGGAGGCTATTTTGGATACAAGCTAGGATGTGCTCTTGCCAGTGCAGGAGCTTCTGTTGTGCTGTACGACATACACAAGCCTATCTGGGAAGTTCCCAGTGGAGTAGTGTGTATCCAGGTATGATAATTATATCTTCACAGCTGTGAAAATTAGTTTGTCTGCCTTTTCACTAATGTCTTACTGGTTTTCACAACATCCCAAGGCCTTATTGCAAACTGCTGCAGATTTCAGTAACTGTTTTAACTGTGTAGATATCCCACATGATTTTTTGTCAACTGACTTTAGTATGTCTGAGATGAGGAAAACAATGAAACCTGTAAGGCCTATAGCACAGAGTGACCTTCTGCTTCCCCTCCTGACTCTGAAGTGCTCCTGGGGACCCAGTCACTGCCCTCACCTGTGCCTTAATCTAATCACCTGTAGAATGAACACAGGGGTATTATGAGGCTTAATGAATGTTTTTAAAGTCCCTTGAGTTCTATGAAATAAAAGTCTGATTATCAGCAAGTTCTGAAATGGGCCTACTTTTCAGTCCCAGGATGTACAATAAGTACAAATATATATATGCATTCCCTCTGTGCTAACCCACTATATGACAAATGCTAACCTGCAGCTTTGATTTCAATTCCAAATATATCTTCTTATGTATTACAGGCAGATGTCAGGGATTATGATGCCTTATTTGCAGCCTGTGAAGGGGCTGACTGTGTGTTTCATGTAGCTTCATATGGAATGTCAGGAAGAGAGCAAGTGAGTCCAAATAGTTTTGTTTTATTTCTGTGTGACTGTCCATACTGAGGATGAGAGACTTGATGCTGTAACACTGCATGTTAGATTTCTTCACATCACCCTGAGAGCCTGAATCCATGTCCATGCTGTTTGGTAAACTGCTCTGTGCAAACTGGTGTGCTAGCAGCCTGCCTACACTTCTCTCTTCCTAGTTGTAAAATAATTTCCTCCCCATTAGAGGCTCCACCAGCAGCCTGGGAGGGCTTTTGAGTTGTAAATGGCTTTGAAGAGTTCTGAAATGGTGTGAGGACAAAAGGGAAGACAAGGAAGGCTGCTTCCCTCCTTCTCCTTCATGTGGAAACCTTAGCTGTAAGGTCACTGGGAGGAATAAAACACAAAATAAATAATACATAATTTTATATAGCTGAATTATAACAGCAGCTTAATTTTGGCTTTTAATGGTTTGCCATTGGGTAAAAAGCTCTAAGGATGTACTTGATGTAGGACTTCAAGCCACAATTTTTATTATTGGAGTTACAGACACACACCCACACCCTTTCTTACCTTATTTAGTGAAAGGAACCTCAGTAATAACCTTAGTTGGATAGAGGAGTTCATTCAGAGATGTCCACAATTGAGCAATGCATACTTGGAATTGCTTTAGGTAGTATACTGGTCACTGAAGTGCTGCTAAAACATGGATACTTAAAATCCTGCTGCAAGATATACAATAACTGGAAATATATCTTAAGAAGCACTATGATCCTCTTTGTTTCAAGCAGGATAGTCTGTAAAGGTACAATAAAAATACAGACATGGTAAAAAAAATAATGATTAGACTTCTTGAAGTATGAAACAGCAGGCTAAGTGATCTTTTTTAAAATCAAAGTCCTAAACTCCTTATTGTTATTTGGAGACACATCCTCTATTGCAGTTAAAATATATTACTATTAAAAAATGCACAATTCTTTATTTTCCTAGTTACACAGAGAAGAAATTGAAACTATAAATGTTCATGGAACAAGATTCATCCTAGATGGTATGTATCTAACTTTGCCTCTGGGTAATAGCACATCAAAATATTGTACCACTTAGAAAAAATCAGTTGGCTTTTTTGGCACAAACTCTTTTTTTTTTTTTAAATCAAAAACTTAGATTTTTGACAGAAGACGAGGAAACAGGGGGGTTGTTATGCTCCATTCTGTTATGGGGTGTGATGGAGCCAACACTGTAGTTCAGCTTTTCATAACCATGTTTGGTCGGACTCTGTATCCACGTCAGGACCACCATTTCCAGGTGTATTTGTAGCCCTAAACCTTGTTGCTGTCTAACAGCTTGTGCACAGGTAGTGGGGCAGCCCTTGAAGCAGATGGACTTCAAGCACCTGCCTGGCTAGAGCTGCAGCCCATTTCAGCAGCCCTCCCAGAGGCCCAGTGTCAACTGACAGCACCCATATTTGGACATGCCAGATGATAAAGCACTTGGTTCTGCATTGATGTGTTCTCTTTCCATATGCTTTGGATTTTAAATCACACGGTCATAACATTTTCTCTCTCCAGATTTGACAGTTTCTCAGAAAAAGGTCATACAAACATTTTAACCATATTATTTCATTTTCCACGGAACTAATTTACTCTGTACATTGCTGCAGTCTGCAAACAGAGGAACATCACCAGACTGATATATACCAGTACAGTGAATGTGGTTTTTGGAGGGCTTCCCATTGAGGATGGTGATGAGGAAACTGTGCCATATTTCCCAATTGAAAAGGTATTTTCATTGCATTGTGTTTTCCAAATTTCTTCGTTGTCTGCTTTCTTGTTTCTTGAAAAGCCTGGAGTTTTCATGACCATGTTTTGCCTGATGCCAGAATCCAGTGCCAAGAAAGAAGAAAAAAAACTCTTTACAATTTTTCTAGGTGCTGTTCATGACCTTGACACATCAGTTTTAGGTACATTGCAGTGTATATTTCTTTGTTTCCTCTCAAGGCCTTGATTTTGGAAAATAACTGATATAGTGTCCCATTAACATTAATGAAATTCCATCTGGACATAGGGATTGTGTGATATGGCTTGGTGCCTCTTCAGCTATTTATTATTTATGTGATTTTTCTGTATCTTCCTTATTGAAGATGACACACATTCAATATAGAGCTGATATGGAAAGCAGCCTATTTTTATATGGTTTTATTGCATTTAATTAAAAAGGAGAAGATCCTACTGGGTGCTTTACAAACACCATTGGTCTTTTTCTCTCCTCCCTCCATCAAGTGCTTCAGTCTTTAAAGACGTACAGATGGATAGAGAAAAGATTGAGTAATATTTTGAATAATATATCGAGTCATATTTTCTGAGACAACGCACAATAAATTGAACAGGATAATTCAAACTAATCATAATGTCTTAATAACTTGGCTTTTGACTTTTCCATTACCTGAAAAAGAAATCCAGATTACAAAGCAGTGATCAGTTACGTTCTTGGCAGCATGCAAAGCATACATATATTTATTGCTTCTCAAATGTGCTGAAATTAATTAACTGCATTTGCCTCAACAAAAATGCTTAGCAATATGCCTGTGTTTTATCCTAAACTAATATCCACAGCTTCTGTATTTTGAGGTATTTGCTGCTGTCTTCTAAGTAAAAACGAGTGGAGACAAGATGTCCCTCTGCCCTGTCATTTCAAGAACAGATAAACCCCTATTTGCTTTTTCTCTGTAGCATGTTGATCATTATTCCAGAACCAAATCAATCGCAGAACAAATGGTCCTAGCAGCTAATGGAACTCCTCTAGCAGGTACTTTTGTCCTAGCACGAATTCCTACTGGAATTTACTTCTTCTCTTCTTGCTCTTCACTAACATCCTCTATCCTGTATCAATCCTTAGTGGACAAGATTGTCTGGCAATTATGAAATCAAGTTACTTACCTGCTCTCACAAAGGAAAATATTTTCACTTAAAAATCACTTTTAATTATTTTTAAGTTCTTGTGGTGTGCATAAAAGGTTTTAGCATGGTAGTAATGAGTTAAGTATGTTAATTGAAAGTATGAAGACAGCTATAAATTAAACAAAACCAAGTGTTTAATGTCACTGTATTATGCAACATAAGTAAACCATGAATGCTGATTGTTACCCACCCACAAGTTATATATTAAAATCTTAAGAAGCCACCTGATACTACAGCCTGGAATTACTTATTAGTGCTTCCCAAAGTTTTCCATGTTGAGGAAGCCAGTTATACACTTGGATACTTAAGCTCACCTGTGGGATACTATAACTGCCACTGCAAAACAAATTAATGTAAAGTGCAACATGATTCTATGGGACCAAGTGATACTGAGCTAAGTTTAGCTGCAGACAACTTACAGAAAAGAATCTCTTCACTTGATACTGGCAGAGGGCTATAAAGAGAAATAAAGTAATTGATGTGCATCCCATTCCAACAGAATTAGTTTTAAAATAAAGGGTTTTTTTTCTTTACTTCCTCATTTCTCATCAGGTCTTCACATCAAAGACCCTTTTCATTTTAGGAGCAATATACAGTGCCACATTTCTCAATTCAAGTAGAATGTTGTTGTTCCAGATAACCCATTTTGATCCTGGGCTATAGCAGGACTGAGTATTTTGCATGTTTTCAGGTACTGTTAAGAACAGTTATTACCAGATGATGAACCTGCCAGCTGATACACTGGGGAAGGGCTTGGATTTTTAGGATGGTCCCTGCTTTCTTCCACAGAAGTCATCAAGAGCTTCTGCAGCAGTTCTAGCAGCAGCATCTGGCTATGCCTGCTGTTGAGAATTTTTCAGCTCTGTCTTGTACTCCCAGCGAGTCACTGTTTCCCATTTTGTGTAGGATCAGTTGGTTTCATTCCACTTTCTTACTGATAATTTGCTCACTTCAGCAAACCTAAAACCACAGCTGGCACGTTCAGTCTCTGCTTTGGCACAAAACAAAAGACTGGTTAGAAAGGTTTTGAAATACCTGGTAATTTCTAGGAATCTGATGATGCTGGTAGGAATTCCCTGACTCTTATCTTGCTATTTTTCATGTTCTGATTCTGCCAACTTAATATCCAGCTCCTAATTCAGCACCTTTTGCTGTGTATTATTTTTTAAGACAGTGAAGTTAATTTATTTCAAAGTTCTACTACCACAGTCTTTGGTTCATACAGAGAGATGGTGTCATGTGAAAGTCACTTAAGAATGGTCTTACCAATTCTTCTAGGAGGTGGAATACTCTATACATGTGTTCTTCGCCCACCAGGGATCTATGGGCCAGAAGAGCAAAGACACTTGCCAAGGCTAGCAGTATGTACTTTGTTTTTTTCTTCAGCTGAATTTTCTGTGACAGCAGCATCACTGATCTGTGTTACAAACTGACTGACCTTCTTACTGGGCAACAATTCAGTTGCGTGTTGAGTACCTGTAAAGAATGTACAGGAGATTTTAAAATTCTTTTTAAAAAAATACAAACATGTGTAAGTCCAGCTTTATAATGTAAAGCTTACTATTACATTCAGGCCAGTCTATGATATTTCAAAAGTCTGTTTGCATGCAACTTACACCAGATGGCTTAAAAAATTAATGAAAAGAGATAGGGCAAAATATCTTCTTTCCAGTCTCAACTTTTAACAGCTTTCACTCTCCCAAGTTCAGGAGTCGGAAGCACCTTCTGGTACAATAGGTTACCAGAGGGCAAAGAGCTGAGCTGCTCATGTTTTACTCTTTTTCACTTGCTGTCTGTTAAATTGTAGGACTAGCCCAGTGTTTAGAATATGATCCCTGCAGAATTACATGAGTTAGTTATTTTTAAGTCATCAGTACAATGTAAAGTTACATGCAGCTTTGGGGAAAGAATAGATTGACACTTCACACAGTGTTTGTGTTTTGTGGCTGAGGTCAGGAATCACACTGAAGTCAGACAAAATATACTTTATCATCTTCTAAATGAACTCATTTTTAAGCAAATGGCAAGTGGCATTTTAGGTAACTTTGAGATGTTTTCTTTAACCCTGCCTCCAAAACATAGGGTTTATTTAATTTCTAATTAAGATTTTAAGTTTCTTTATTATGAGCCCATTTTTAGGCATGATGCAACTGTCCCATTTTGCAGTTTCTAAAATGTACCTGTTAAATGAAAAATGTGACAATTAGCATTAATTTCTGTTTTTTCCCAGCCAAAGCTGTTTGTTACATTTGATCCAATTTTCTCATTATGTTTTTATCCATTCAGAACTGTATCTTACCTTTCCATACAATATTTTATGTACCCTTGGAACAGACTTAGAATTTTGTAAATATTAGACAAGAAAGTATTCTGCACCTCATTTTAAAACCCATTTTGCCTTGGTTTCATGTTTGTTTATGTCTACAGAAGAATATTGAGAGAGGGCTACTTAGCTTCAAGTTTGGGGATCCTTCTGCTAAAATGAACTGGGTGCATGCAGAGAATCTTGTACAAGCTCAAATTCTAGCTGCTGAAGCTCTCACCCCTGAGAAGAACTACATAGCTGTAAGTAAACAATAAAAGCACCAGTTTTCATTTGACAGTGGATCCTGACACTATATCCTGTACTGTAGTAACTACTGTAGTGGTAGTAATCAATGTTTGCGTTCCAGTCCTTTAGCTTATGTTGTTGTCTGTGTTTGTAGTAGACAAATGTGCTATGAACAGTGTTGGGACCTGGCAGCATTGGCTGAGCAGTGTGTTAAGAGGTGAAATATTCAGTTCTGCAAGAATGTCTCCATTCTTGCATTTTTGTAATATAATATTTGCCATTCCTGCAAGATGAACAAAGAGTGTTTGCTATGTAAGAAATGAAACTGGAAGTTCAGGCAGATTTATCCCCTACTCCCCTGTATATAGATCCAGACTTAATGTTTGGAACTCTGACAACCAGTCCTTCCTAAACCATGTGCAAATAAAGGAGCATTTAATTGGGCTTCATCCATTTCAGAAGTAGTTTTCATGCTTGTAAACACAGTTTTTTGTTTGACTTAGAAGCACTACCCTTAAAGTATATTAGAAAGATTTTCAAAGTAGATTAACTACTTTTTCTAAAACCCTTAAAGCAAAAGGGCAGGAGGTAGCTTGGGCCTTGGTTACACAGATGGAGTCATAGGGGTTTTCATGAGTCTTAGCTAGTCCACCAGCAGCACGTCCCACCTCTTGATGTGTTAGCAGCAGCAGGTAGCTGTGGCACCACCTCCAGTGCATCAGGTAGTCACTGTGGCCATTGTCTGTAGGTACATCTGTACTAACTCATTTACCAAAACATCTTAATCACATCAACCACTTGTCCACTAATTTCATGGCACATACTGACTGAAACACATGTAGGTGGTTTGTTGGCTTGTGTGTTCACCCATGCATATTTTATGTTGCTATATTATTTTTCAGGCATTCATGAGGAGGGAGATAAAGGAATAGAAGTCAATATATATGCAGTATTATTTTTACTAACTAGTCTCTACCTCTTCAACAGAGTGGCCAGGTGTATTTCATTAATGATGGCGAAAAATTCAACCTTTTTGAATGGTTAACTCCACTTGTACGTACCATGTCTACTTTATCTCCAAACACATTAATCTCTGCCTGTACACAGCTCCAGCCTTTGTGTGCTTGTTACATTTGTTGTGTTTGCTTTGGGTGTAAGAGTTCTGTCCTGAATGTGGGTTTAATTCCTGCTCAAAGTTCAGTGTGGTTAGGGCTGTAACAAAGCCTACCTAAAGTGTTACATGAAAGCAGTTGTCTTCACTGAGACCAAAGGACCATCTACACCAGTGTCCTTGTTTGGGTTGCCATGCTTCTCACTTCTTGGGCTTGCAAGTAGCTGGTTTGGGTGGAAAAAAAAAAAAAGTAAATTCTAATGATTAATACATTATTTCCAAAAGATCATTATATCATCCATTGTATCATCAAAGCCATAGATATGGCAGGATGTTCAATAAGGTATCAAGACACCGTGACATTTTGATCTGTTACAAACTTCTTTTTCCCTTTTTTTTTTAAGACTGCCACATTTCATACTGTCTGCATGTGACATTTAACTGGAATCCCCTGAAAAAATGAACAGTAACAGCAATGATTAATTTTTCTGTTTTATCAGTAAACACTTCCACAAATATCTTCTGTATAGAAACTTTAAAACTTGTTTGAGGTTTCTGTTTTTTTCACTGCTTTTTCAATCTCTTTCAGTTTGAAAGATTAGGTTGCAGTAAACCATGGATACGTATTCCTACTTCCTTAGTTTATGTATCAGGTAAAAATATTTTATCAACATTTCTCTTTCCTCATTCCTAATTGTAATATAATGTGCTTTTTTAAATTTGTCCACAGTTTTCCTGTATAAAAATAATATGCTCTGGGCTCATCTAGTGTGCAGCAGTTGGGGGTGAAGTTCAGCTCTATCAAGTGTGTTGAAACCAGAATGATGTTATTTAAGTCCCACAAAACCAGCTTTTTTTAGGACTTAACAGATGTAGAATTTTGTGGGGTTAATGGTATGAAAATAAAAAGTCAAATGTAAAAATCTGTGACTTCATGAAATAAACTGAAGAGTATCTGCTTGGCTGCACAAGTAAATTCCTTGTTCTCCTTTATCCCATGCTCTGTCCAGAATCAATCCCCATGTGCAGTTCAGACTGAGTATTTTGTTGTTACATTTTGGTGAAATCTCATCTTTTCATTAGACCTGTCACCAACTCTCCAAACCCTTCTCACACAAGCACCCTAATTCAGGCTGGCCAAAGCATTAAGATTAAATTCAAACCCTTGTGAGCAGGTAGTCCAGTTAATGTTAATCCAGTTAATGTTAGTCCAGTTAATGTCAGCGATGATGCCCTGAGATCTTAGGTATGTGATTATCCTTCATAATCAAATAGAGTGCAAGATACACCGCAATCAAAATGGCAAAGCAATTTATTATTCTTACCTCAAGCAGAAATCTTTTGTTATGCAGCCATGATAATGGAATACCTTCATCTGATGCTGAAACCTTTTGTTGAGCTGTCCCCACTGCTGACCAGAAATGAGGTAAAGTCTCTGTAACCTGTCACAGGGCACATACATGCACAGTAATACTGAGGTGCAATTTAAGATTAAGTCAGCAGAAGGTAAAACCTGCCCAGTAATACTCCAGCCTTCTGTTTCCAGGACAGATGTATCCTTTGGGCAATCTGTTATGCTCATTACCATAATCTTGGAAAAGATAAGAGCTCATGCAGCCTGGGAGAGGCTGCTTCAGCCCCCTCCTCCAGGCCCAGTGTCCTGTATGGCTTTGGCTGGTCAGCTGGACCCTCATTTTGAAGAGATGGCTTTTGCCTGCCTCCTAAAGTACATGAACAAGTACTGAACATTTTTTGTGGATGTTTTCAAGGCTGGAATGTTCTGCTTTGCAGCCTTTACTGACTCTTTGGGCTTTCAAGATTCTCAGTGAAAATTTTTAAAGACCACGTAAAATGTCAAGAGGATGTTGATATAATGTGGGTTTGGGTTTTTTTTTTACATTTCTTTTCACTGTCTTTGCTGCCATGCACAGATTTTGTTCCAGTTTCCTCTGTATTTATGCCTTTGCATGTTGTCTTTTTTGCCCTCTAGGTACAGAACATTTCCATAACTCACACGTTTCGAATAGACAAGGCACGGAGTCAGCTGGGGTACAGCCCAGAGAAGTTTGCATTTGCTGATTCCGTGGACCATTACATTAAAACAAGACCAGAAGCCCAGAATCATCACGTCTTCCTCAAAGTTTTGCTTTCTTTAATTGTTACTTTAAGTTTGATCTTTGTTTCTTTAAGATTTGATGGCCTTTCAGTTTTGCACTTTTTTAAAGAAACACAACACTGACTTGCAGTCACAGTCACTGCTACTTGGGTGGTTCTGATCTCCACAATAGTTACTGGTACTGAGGCAATTACACAGGCTGTTATTTTAGGTTTAAAAACACAACTGTAAGATATCAGTAGCTGTATTTGAGAAAATAAAATACAGTAAACAATTTTGGCCCAATCACTGAAACACACTGGAGTCAAGACTGTTGCATCTCTTTATTTCATACCAAAAAAACAACTTTCCCAATTGGCTGCTGAAGGAAATGAGAACCTGCAGAAAGAAGAGCTATAGGCAGCCTGCAGTGCTTCACGGGTGAAGAAAATGGCTAAAATGAGGAGAAACGTTGGCCACAGCTGCTGCCACAGCTCACTGCCTTGGGGACTGAGGAGCCAGCAGAGATGGACAGAACAGACCACTGTAAATAACACACACCACCTGTACAGATGGAGTTCACACTGTGTGAATTTATATTGTGAATTAGCTGTATCACTGTATATGAGGGAAAATAAAAGTGTAGTTGAAACTTCACTGCAGTCAGTCCTCTGGCTCTGTGCATGCTGCTCCAGAACTGCTTCCCCCTGGGGTGCAGAGCCAGGGCAGCAGCTCCTGGCAGTTTGGAGGGGGGAGGGTGGATACGCAGGTACGGTTTTCCAAGAGTCAAAACTGTGTATTTCATTTAAATTGGAAGTTATTAACAGAGTTACATTAGTTCAGTGCATTTCTGTCACAGTAATCTGACACTATGGGTTGCACGAATCTTTGCTTCCTGTAGTTCTTGAGGACAATAAAGCTCAGTTTATCAGCTGAGTTTTAGGCACAGCTCTGCTTTTGCACCTCATTCGTAGAGCATGGCAGTTGTACAGAGCACGTCCCTGCAGCAGCTACAGTGAACAACGCGGTTTTTTAATTCTTGTTCAGCTAAAATGGGCCTAAAATATCGGGTGACTGGAAGGCCCCATTCCCTGCCATTTATCACGGAAACGTCCCTCCGTCTGCACCTTCCCAGCCTGTAACACGGGCAGGGAACAGCCGGGAGCAGGAGAGAGAGAGCTTGGGAGACAGTAGCTGGGATGAGACACGAGACCTGCAGGAATTACGGTCTGGAGAGGGAAGTAATCCTAGATGGATTTGGAAATTCTGGAGAGGGCTTAGCCCGCAGCTCGGTCGGCTCAGAGCAGGGCAGGCAGCGAGGGGCAGGCAGGGGCAGGGCTGCGGGTGCAGCGACTTCCAACACAGCGCGGGGAGACGCAACTTTTGAAATCAGTATTTCTGGTATTTTTAAGCCAAAAGACACGCACAGATGAGAAGGCACTTTCTCCAGCGCGTACCACGACTCTGTAATTCGGTTTTGAGGTGCCTGACCGGCAGTGACACCCGGCCCCCGCCCCGCCCGACGCCCGCACCGAGCGGCGAAAAGGAG